AAGTTTGTTGATTTGATTCCTCTTTGTAGAGAACCAGCTTGTGTTTTAATTGATTATTTTTCTTTTTAAAAAATTTGATTATTTTTCTATTCTCTTATTTTGCTTCATTTAATCTTTATTATTTCCCATCTTTGGCAAATTTAGACTTTGTTTTCTCTTCTTTTTCTAGTTCTGCAAGGTTATTGATTTGAGATCCTTTTCATTAAAAAAAAATCATTTTATTGAATGTTAACATTCAGTCCTAGAGAGGAGTTTTCTTCATGGCTCCAGATTTTTCTTAGCTTCTGACCAAAATGACTAGTTCAAAATTCAAAAATCCAAAGAGTTCCTGTTTTTTTAGTTCAATCTGTCAACAACCACCTACGCAAGTCTCTTCACCTTTGAATATCCTGAGCACTCAAGGCACTGGGTGGGGCTTAGCTTTTCAGAGCCGTTTTTGCAGGTGTGTCCTAATCCATTTAAAGATTTAAATTTTAATGGCTGAAGGCAAGGCTTACAAAGTCTCTATTTTTGTACTTCCCAATAATCATTTCTATAAATCATTATATCAACAACAATAAGCAGAAGAAATCAGTATAAACAAAGTAGAATCAAACACTAAACTCAATTCTTAAAGCAGTCAATTTCAGTCTTTCTTTAGCTTAACTTTATCCTTAGCTAAACTATATTGCCTTAGGTCTCTGACTGAATCAAGCCAAAGCCAGGCTTCCTGTCAGCCATTTTCACTAAGCGACATGGTCTCTGAGAAATTCAAGGGGTGATTTTGTTCCTTGAGCTCAAAATATACATTAATCACATTCATTTTTTCCATCTCAAACAGGAATAACCAAAGATGAAAAGAAAAGAATAAAAACTTTAACTTCCCATATTCTTTTCAGCAAACAACCCAGTAAACCTCATGGATGTATCTCACCTCTGGCTAGCCAAAGACGAAGAACTACCATGAGGCAGAGGTCAAACAAACAACCATCTCCCTCCATCTTCATGATTTATTTCTCTAGTACCCCATTCCCAATGTACCATAATGTGTTAGTCCAGGTTGACTAGAGAAACAAATTCATGGACATGTGTATAGGAAAGAGCTTTATATAAAGAGTAATTGTACATTAAGAAAACACCCCAACCCAGTCCAGATGAAGTCCACAAGTCCTATATTAGCCTATAGGTCCAGTACCAGTCTGTAAAATCCTCTTCAGACTCATGCAACACATGCAGTGATGCCGAGTGCAGGAAGATCACAGGCCAGTGGGTGGAAAGTCTTGTGGATCCAGTGGCGGGGGAAGCATCTTAGTGGTGGCATGTATCTCTATGTGGTTCCTCCAGCATCAGGGCTCTAGCAAAGCTCCATGTGTCTTGTCACAAGGAATACCAAGCAGAGAGTGTGTGTGTCCCATCTCCAGCGAGGTATTTATCTCTGTATCGCCTCCAAATGAGGTCATCAAGCAGTGACCTGATTGACAGGCTAAACTCCACCCCTTCACTCTTAATAGTCTCAAGTTGGCACCAGATTTTGTAACTACCACATTTCCTTTGTGAAGTCTTCTTTGATCCGTTGGTTAGTTAGCTTTGTGCTGTTTAATTTTCACACACGTGGTATGGTAGGTTGATTTCTCTAGAGAAGCAAAATCAGTGATGCTTGTATGTGTATGTCTATAGAAAAAGAGTTGCATCATTGTAGAAGTAGGTAAGTCCAGTCTGATTGAAATCCATAGGTCATATGTAAGCTGGAAGCTTCTTCTGTCTTCTGTAGCTATGAATGCTGGCAAAGAGGAAGTAGAGTGATGAAGCAGGATGGCCACATGCTGAGGGATACAGAGGTAAATGAATCCAAGGTAGGCTATCTGCTGACATCTCCTGTGATCAACAAGTGACACAACATGAGATTGATGAACCAGACACAGGATCCGGATCCAGCAGAAGGTGAAGGAGCAAGAAAGAGCTTGGCTCTACTCAGGACCTCTCTCTTATACAAAAGTCCACACCTCCCCAGAGGTGCCATCAGGCTGTGAGCTGATGGAGATGGGCTACACCCCTACCTTCACCCAGGTATGTCTGGTTGACAAATTCTTAACTACTCCACTTGGGAAAATTCAGTTTCCCTTCGATTATGGACTTTGAGTAGATGAAATTTGCTGTTGCCATATCATGGCATACTTAAGAAACTGAATTCCATTACATAGATGACAGAATTGTGGAAGGTATGTAAGCTAGAAATAACAGATTGCATTTTAGATCACACAGGCTGATAGGGGAACAGGGCATAGGTTTAGGTTAGATGGATCTCAGATCAGGGAAGTTTATTCTTTGGGTCGGATTTGGATGCCAAAGAAAACCTGGTCTAGGTGTCTGAGTCAAATCAGGAACCTTAGGGCAGAATCTGTCCTGTTTGTATGAGCTGGACTGGGCACTTCAGGTGGCCTGACTTTTGTCAGCCTAGGAACCGCAGGCATGGACCACATCTGTGTCTAGAACTCTGTAACCCAATCTAATACTGGATTCTAATGTTTCAGGTTTGCTTGCATTTAGTGAGACTGGAGATTCTTGTAGTCTTAGATTCTATTTAGGAGAGATTGAACGGCAAGAGGAGCCTGGACTCTGGATTTGCTTCATATTGAGTGTGCAGGACAGGTGTGATCTACATAATGTATACAACTTCAGTGAAGCTCCATACATTTGGATAATATTTGGGCTTCTTTAAGAGTTGGGAAAAGCAACATGAGTTAGTTAAAGTTTATTGTGCCAACCTGGCCAATAAACACATGTGGGGATAATTGAAGAGCAGAGGGAAAAATGGCTCAGTGAGCCTCGCCTTTCAAGTTTTCGGGTCTCTTGCTTTGTGGTGGTCGGACCAGGGTGCAGCTGCCTTAGCCAGTTCCCTGCTTCAGCTGGCAAGGCTCACTTCCTGCAAGCCATCCCTGAGGAGAAGCCACATGGACCTACCCTGATGCAGCTCTGGGTGCTGTAGCACGGGTGTGGAGACCCCTGCCAGCGCTGAGATGTTTACATGTTCACCGATTTGGCTTTCCTCCTGCAGTCGGCATCATAGTGTGTGTTCTGTGAGATGGAGGAGGACTTTTTGGATTGGTGTTGGACATAAGGGTTAATGTTGGACTTGTGGATTTGTGCAGCACTGGGTTGGGATGTTTTCTTGGTGCGCACTTAACCTTTTATAAAACTCTCTCTTATACATGAGTTTCTGTGGATTTCTTTCTCTAAAGTACCCAGACTTACACACAACAGAAACTAAGAGAGATATATAGGTAAAAGCAATTTTATTATTGGAGTGAAAACAAAGAGGCTCTAAGAAATCAGCAAGCAATAGTTGACCAACAATGGACCTACTAGTGATCCCATAAGCTACTCAGGAACTTTCCACCTGCCCTTTAGTACCACCTGGGTATCTCCTATACCCAGAAGACACAGTTTCAGTTTCCAAGGTGATAAAGTCCTATAACTCTGACAGGGTCCCTTCGACTCATGTTCTGCAACCTCTGGCTTTCCCCCAACCTCCTAGGCGATTCTTTCCCACAGAGCTTCTTTTCTACATGTTGCCGGATCTCTCTTGTCCTCACTCCGTAAATGACAGGATTCAAAGTTCCTGGGAGCAGTAAGTAGATGGCACTGAGCAGGTTCTGGACGTCCTGAGATACAGTCTTGGCCACTCGGAAGACAATGGAAGTGGAGAGACCAGAGAGGTAGATGGTGAGGATGACGAGCAAGTGGGAGCCACACGTGTTCAAGGCCTTGGCCCGGGCTCCCCCAGAGGAGATCCTGAAGGCAGCATAGATGATTCGAGTGTAGGAGGCGCCCAGCAGGGTCAGGTCAAAGGTCACTGTGATTAAACGCATAGCGAGTCCCAGACTGTTGTTGAAGGTCAGGTCCCCACAAGCTATGCTCAGCAGTGCAATGTACTCGCAAGTGAAGTGCCGAATCACGGGTGTCTGGCAGAACTGTGCTCGTGATGTGAGCACCACCAAGGGCACTGCTACTCCCAGGCTCCGTGTCAGGGCAAGAATGGCCAGCAGGCCCAGCAGGCGGGAGGTCATCAGGTCAGTATAGCGGAGTGGGTGGCAGATGGCCACATAGCGGTCCAGGGCCATGGCCAGCAGGAGATTGTAGTCCAGAAGGAGGGTGAAGTAGATAAAGAACATCTGGGCCAAGCAGCCATGCAGCGAGATGGGGTTGGTGTAATGCACAAAGCCCTCCAGCATCTTGGGCATCACCGTGGAGGCAGCACAGATGTTGGTAGCCAGCAGAAAGGTGATGAGCACATACATGGGCTGGTGCAGGCTCCGCTGGGTCACGACCGTGTGGATGACCAGGGCGTTCGCAGAAATGATGGTCACATAGAGGATGGCAAGAGGTAGGACCAGGGGGGACCGCCATTCTTGTAACCCCGGGAAACCCACCAAGAAGAAGTTGGTGTAGGAGATATTGAAGGTGCTGTTACTTCCATCCACACCCATTAGCTTTGGCCCAGGCCTGCCCCAGGAGCGGAGATCAGAACACCGTGGTTAGGATGAGACGGTCAGTGGAAGAGAGTCTTATTCTATTGTAGGGTCTGAGGGATTTTGACACAAATCCTGCCAAGGTAACATGTATGTCTGTCCCTTTGGGATACAGGAGGGGACCTTGCCAGGTATCGCCGGAGTTACAAAGATGAATTCCTTGCTCCCACGGAGCTGCTCTTTGCTGTGTGTGTGTGTGTGTGTAACGTAAACTTACAAGAGACTTGTTTATCTGTGATGTGCTGGCTGCTGAGTGAGTGAAAGATTAGGAGGAAAAAAAATCATACAAGAGGGGAAAAGTGATGGGTCTGAGGTGAAACAAGAGAGGATGAAGAAAATCCTAGATAAAGAGGAAGAGAAAGTATATAAAAAATGTAAGGGCCAAGCAGCCCGGGAGGCATATGGAGGAGCAAGAAACCCTCCAGGAATGATGGCTTCCTTCTTCTGGCATGGTGGCAAGGACAGAAGGAAGCTGCTGGTCTTTCTGGGCCACAAATGAGAAACTGAAGGGATTGTTCCCTTAAGCCCCTGCAGACTGTCTGGGGTACCCACTGTCTGGCCTTGTTCTCAGCCGGGAAATCAAAGGTTGACAGCATCCTTTGGCACAGAAGCACACAGGAAATGCCCGAGCACAGCTGTTGAGTAGGAGACCGAGGAGCAGACAAAAGAGGGGGAAAAACCAAACCCCAAACCCCACTCACTGCCAGAGAGTCGATTTGACTCATGTGGACCCTCTAGGGGTCAAGGTAGTTCTGCCCCTGTGGGTTTCTGAAACTGTGGCTTTTTATGTGCGTAGAAAGGCTTCTCTTTCTCCTGAGAGCGGCTGCTGATTTCAAACTGCCGGCCTCGCAGTTAGCAGCCCAACACATAACTACTTGGGCTCTTATAGCGGTCATCGCAAAGTCTTAGCCAGATGTTTGCTTAATTAAGGGACTGGCTGGTAAAAGGCATGTGATTTAAGACAGGGTTCACTTCTTATGCTACATTCTTAGGGGGTAGTGTTTGATGGGAGGGTGAGGTGGGGTTAGGAAGATGGTGAAAGGTACGACCTGATATACGTTAAAATAACTAACTTTCATCAGACTTTGACAGTCAGTGTAAAAAAGGCCACCATAAATTAACTTTTAAAATAATTAAAACAACATTATGAAGGAGGTAGTATTATTTAAGTTTATAGATGAAGAAACTGGCTCACCCAGCTAATAAGTGGCAGAGCTGGATTTGAACCCAGGCTTTGGACCCCACAGTTCCTCTTAACTTTAGGGTGACCAACTTGCCTTGGTTTGCCCAGCATTTTCCTGGGTTTCACCCGGAAAGCGACTCAGCACTGAAAATCAGGCATCGCGGCAAACCTTACAATGACTACTGATGCGATCGACAGGTAGAGCAGCCATCTAAATTGTGGGGGAGTTGGGAAATGTTATATATAAGTTTAGAAATATTGTCTTTGAAAATCAGTGTGAATAGTCCAACAGCCGCCCTCTGACGGCTTCGAAGAATAAAGAGGCATATTTGTCAATTCACACATCAGAGAGATCTCAAAGGAAAGTGGACTTATAATTCCAAATCAATGCAGAATGCCTTTCTGGGGCGGGGGGTGGGGGGAAGTTATTAGAATTTTAGACACAATATCTTAGACTTGTAAAAATCCTTAGAGTGGAGGTTTGAAGAAGACCGGGTAGGAGAGTGGAATTGAGAAGCAGAGAGTCAGGGAAGGGATAAAAGGAGAGGGATGGAAAGGAAACGGCGACCTGGGGAACAGGGGCCAAATCAATGTCCAGGGAGCCTGTGCATCCTCAAATGCATCTGAATGTGGTCATTCTTAAAGGGGGAGGAGGGGGTCGATGGGGGCGAGGAACAGACCCGGGCTGCCCCCAAACTTAAATTTGAACAAGGTCAGTCTGTCTCCATCATGTGAGTTTTAATTTGGAGTCCAATTTTGCATTTGGGATGACTCAGGTAAATTCTTTGAGAAACGTCTTTGACATTGGGCCCCAGAGCAGTCAATACAGGAAGATCTCAAGAGAGAGGACAAGATGGTTCTGGGAGCAAATCCATCAGGCTAGGAACAAACTAGAAATCAAAGACGATGTCGGGGTTTTTAGTTTTTCGTGCTCATGACTGCCATGGAGATGCCCACATCTGAGGAAGGAGGAACAAAGTGATGTTACTAAAAGACACAATCAGCCAGTTTAGTTTGATGTTTTCCAGACTCTCAAGCGGGATGTCAACCAGCAAGTGCAAGTAAGAGTGGACTGCTCGGATGAAGGATTTAGGCTGGAGATGAAGATGTGGGCATGCTAATTCTATAGCGGGCATGGGGCGGAATCCCCTAGGGCAGGCAGAATGACAGATGCCAGTGAGGAAGACTGAGAATGAGGAGAGAAGCCAGCGGAGTGCTGGCAACCAGAAGAGGAGAGATTTGGTTGGTAGAACATAGGTTCCCAGACTTATTTGAGCCTGGAGTCTAGAGGCTTCGAAGACAAAGAATGTATAGACTAGTAGGGTCGAAAAGACTTCCTCTACTGCAGTGGTTCTCAACTGTGGGTTGAAAACCCTTTGGGGGTTGAATGACCCTTTCACAGGGGTTGCTTAAGACCATCAGAAAACACATTATGCTTTATATTACGACTCATAATAACAGCAAAATTACAGTGATGAAGTAGCAACGAAAATAATGTTATGGTTGGGGGGTCACCACAACATGAGGAACTGTATGAAAGGGTCGTGGCATTGGGAAGGTTGAGAACCACTGCTCTCCTCTAAATGTCAAAGCCACAGACAAGACAGCCCGTCCCCACACATTTGCATGGCTACTCTGCTCACCTTTCTTCCTTCATTTCGCGTCTCTCTTCTGCCTCTGCTTTAGAGGATTCTTTCTATCTTCAGAGTAATTTCCCATTTTTCCTCACCCTCATCAGCATATGAACAAGTGTGCATTCTTGATATTAGAGAAAATAAAAGCTCTTGAACCCCAATGCAGCTTTCCAGTTTGCAAGCTTTCTCCTCCAGATTTTTGGCCACCCTCGGCACATTCACCTCCCACTCACTCCTCAACCACTGTGTTCTACTCCCCACGCTCCAAAATGCTGCCTGTCAAGGTCCTGGATACCCTACCAATTGTTAGCCCCAATGGACATTCGCTTGACTATGTCAATATTATACAGATTGCATCGTAGCCAGTGAGGCAGATACTAAAATAAGGCATAAAAGGGGCAGGATCTTTGCAAAACAAGCTTCTTGCCCATCACTTCTGCTCCATCTCTGTGCCTATCAATTTTTTACCTCTCAGCCCCAATTTCACCCTGCGAGGTTAGCAGTTTGAAACCACCAGCCGCTTGCTTGCTGCTCCTCAGGAGAAGACAAGATTTTCTCATGCTGTAAAGAGTTCCAGTCTCGGAAACCCACTAGGACAGGTCTGCCCTGTTCTGTGAGGTCCCCCATGAGTAGGCATCACCTTGATGACCGCGAGTGAGCTCAGTGAAAGGGGAGCCCAGGCGGCAGAGTGGTTATGTATTGGGCCGCAGTTCGAAACCACCAGCCACTCCGCAGGAGAAAGAGGAGGTTGTCTACTCTCGTAGAGAGAGAGCTACAACTTCCAAAACCCACAAGGGCAGTTCTACGCTGCCCTTGAAGGACTGCTCTGAGTGGGAATGGACGGGCTGGTAGTGAACTTGACTGAAATAGTTCTGCGCTTTAGTTTCTTCTTGCTAGCTGGCGTGATGCGAAGACGAGGTCAGTAGAGGGCGCCGGAGACACATTGTGCAGAACCTCATTTTATTTTGCTTTCTTTTAATGGCACTTCGCAGATAGCGCTCTCTTTTCCTCTTCCTTTACAAATGGAAGGTTTGTGGCTACTTTGCAGGGAGCAACTTCAGTCTGTCAGCGGCATTTTCCCCACAGCATGGGCTCCCTTTGTGTCTCTGCTGTTGTTAGATGGCATCGAGTCTTGGTAACATTTGGGTAATTCTCACACTATTTCAAGCTTTTTTCATCGCTGTTGCACCCTCGATAGAACACAGTACAGGATAAGCATAGCTCTATCTCTAGGAATCCATAAGCAAGCTGTGCATTGCTATTGCCATATTCGCCTCACTGGGTGGCCTCTTGGGACTGAAACCCTGCCACTCCGCAGTATGCCTGTACTCTCTCACCAGCTCCTGCAGAAGGGGTAGCTTCCCCAGTGCCAGCTCCTGCAGCGGAGCCAGGCCAGGAGCATCTGATGGCTCAGCACTGCCCCTGGCCTTCCTACACTCCTCTCCCGCCCCCGGCCCTTCTACTATGAAGGGCCTCTGGTGAAATACTTCCTAAATGGTGGTTTCCAGCAAGTTCCATGAGTCTGGCATCATGGCTACTTGAATTCTACTGTCCAAGGACTCCAGGCGGTGTCCCACCCCACAGGTCTCCACACAAGGAGAAACAGAGTTAGCATGCTGTTGAACCAAGGCAGACATGGGCCATGCTTAGAGATCTGGTCTGTTTAAAACTTGGTTTGAAGAAAACCCCGAATGTAACATACCCCACCCCCCTGGTAAAATTCCTTTTTAACCTTAAGAATGTTCTAATTCAGCAAGTTTGGAAGGACAGAATCATTTGGGCAAGCAAGGCCTTTCAGAGAAGCAATGAGCCTGAGACCTTAAGGGAGGGACTGGGTGCCTCCAGTTTCTGTGAAACCTGCCTCCTTTGTCCCATGGCCGAAGCCCTTGGGTCATTGTGACAAACCTGTTCAACAGTCCGGCATTTTTCACCGTAGTTGAGGCTGTATAACTTGCTGGCCTTTCACTGAAAGTTTGAAGTGGTTTTGGGAGGCTTTCGCCCCCGCTGCTTCCTTCTGTCAAGTGCTTCCTTCTGTCAAGTGCTTGCAGAAACAAACTTAGAATTTCTTGAATCAAACTGGTCTCTGCATTTGGCTCAAACAGTGACAGGCATCCTGGTCCTGTCTGGGTTCTTCCTGGAGC